ACACTACATACTGCTTAAGGGAACCATACACCAACAAGACATAACAATCATAAATATATATGCCCCAAACAATGGTGCAGCTATGTTCATCAAACAAACTCTTCTCAAGTTCAAGACTCTAATAGACCACCATACAATAATCATGGGAGACTTCAACACACCTCTCTCGCCACTGGACAGATCTTCCAAACAAAAGTTGAATAAGGAAACTATAGAACTCAATAACACAATTAATAACCTAGATTTAATTGACATATATAGAATATACCACCCAACATCAAGCAGTTACACTTTTTTCTCAGCAGCACATGGATCCTTCTCAAAAATAGATCATATATTATGTCACAGGGCAACTCTTAGACAATATAAAGGAGTAGAGATAATACCATGCATCTTATCTGATCATAATGGAATGAAACTGAAAATCAACAATAAAAGAAGGAAGGAAAAAGCATACATCACTTGGAGAATGAACAATAGGTTACTGAATGATCAATGGGTTACAGAAGACATCAAGGAGGAAATTAAAAAATTCTTAGAGATAAATGAAAACACAGACACAACATATCGGAATCTATGGGACACATTGAAAGCAGTTCGAAGAGGAAAATTCATTGCTTGGAGTTCATTCCTTAAAAAAAGAAAAAACCAACAAATAAATGATCTCATACTTCATCTCAAAATCCTAGAAAAAGAAGAGCAAAACAACAGCAAAAGAAGTAGAAGGCAAGAAATAATTAAAATCAGAGCTGAAATTAATGAAATCAAAACAAAAGAAATAATTGAAAAAATTGACAAAACTAAAAGTTGGTTCTTTGAAAAAATAAACAAAATCGACAGACCCTTAGCCATGCTAGGGAAGAGAAGAAGAGAGAGAACTCAAATTACTAGCATACGGGATGAAAAAGACAATATCACAACAGACACTTCAGAAATACAGAAGATAATCAAAAATTATTTTGAATCCTTATACTCCAATAAATTAGAAGATAGTGAAGGCATAGATAAATTTCTTAAGTCATATGATCTGCCCAGATTGAGTCAGGAGGATATAGACAACCTAAACAGACCAATATCAATTGAGGAAATAGAAGAAACCATCAAAAGACTACCAACTAAGAAAAGCCCAGGACCGGATGGGTATACAGCAGAGTTTTACAAAACCTTTAAAGAGGAACTAATACCAATACTTTTCAAGCTACTTCAGGAAATAGAAAAAGAGGGAGAACTTCCAAATTCATTCTATGAGGCCAACATCACCCTGATACCTAAACCAGACAAAGACACTTCAAAGAAAGAAAACTACAGACCAATATCTCTAATGAACCTAGATGCAAAAATCCTCAATAAAATTCTGGCGAATCGGATACAAAAACATATCAAAAAAATTGTGCACCATGATCAAGTAGGATTCATCCCTGGGATGCAAGGCTGGTTCAATATACGGAAATCAATAAATGTTATTCACCACATCAATAGACTTAAAAATAAGAACCATATGATCATCTCGATAGATGCAGAAAAAGCATTCGACAAAGTACAGCATCCCTTTATGTTCAAAACTCTAGAAAAACTAGGGATAACAGGAACATACCTCAATATTGTAAAGGAAATTTATGCTAAGCCTCAGGCTAGCATCATTCTGAATGGAGAAAAATTGAAGGCATTCCCTCTAAAATCTGGAACAAGACAGGGATGCCCTCTCTCTCCACTTCTGTTCAACATAGTTCTCGAAACACTGGCCAGAGCAATTAGACAGACGAAAGAAATTAAAGGCATAAAAATAGGAAAAGAAGAACTTAAATTATCACTATTTGCAGTTGACATGATTCTATACCTGGCAGACCCAAAAGGGTCTACAAAGAAACTATTAGAGCTAATAAATGAATTCAGCAAAGTGGCAGGATATAAAATCAACACGCATAAATCAAAGGCATTCCTGTATATCAGCGACAAATCCTCTGAAATGGAAATGAGGACAACCACTCCATTCACAATATTTTCAAAACAAAAATAAAATACTTGGGAATCAACCTAACAAAAGAGGTGAAAGACTTATACAATGAAAACTACAGAACCCTAAAGAGAGAAATAGAAGAAGATCTTAGAAGATGGAAAAATATACCCTGTTCATGGATAGGCAGAACTAACATCATCAAAATGGCGATATTACCAAAAGTTCTCTATAGGTTAATGCAATGCCAATCAAAATCCCAACGGCATTTCTTGTAGAAATAGAGAAAGCAATCATGAAATTCATATGGAAAAATAAAAGACCCAGAATAGCAAAAACAATGCTAAGCAGGAAGTGTGAATCAGGCGGTATAGCGATACCAGACTTCAAACTATACTACAGAGCAATAGTAACAAAAACAGCATGGTACTGGTACCAAAACAGGCGGGTGGACCAATGGTACAGAATAGAGGACACAGAAACCAATCCACAAAACTACAACTATCTTATATTTGATAAAGGGGCTAAAAGCATGCAATGGAGGAAGGATAGCATCTTCAACAAATGGTGCTGGGAAAACTGGAAATCCATATGCAACAAAATGAAACTGAATCCCTTTCTCTCGCCATGCACAAAAGTGAATTCAAAATGGATCAAGGAGCTTGATATCAAATCAGAGACACGCCGTCTGATAGAAGAAAAAGTTGGCTACGATCTACATTCGGTGGGGTCGGGCTCCAAATTCCTCAATAGGACACCCATAGCACAAAAGTTAATAACTAGAATCAACAAATGGGACTTACTCAAACTAAAAAGTTTTTTCTCAGCAAAAGAAACAATAAGAGAGGTAAATAGGGAGCCTACACCCTGGGAACAAATCTTTACTCCTCACACTTCAGATAGAGCCCTAATATCCAGAGTATACAAAGAACTCAAAAAATTAGACAATAAGAAAACAAACAACCCAATCAACAAATGGGCCAAGGACCTGAACAGACACTTCTCAGAGGAGGACATACAGTCAATCAACAAGTACATGAAAAAATGCTCACCATCTCTAGCTGTCAGAGAAATGCAAATCAAAACCACCCTAAGATACCATCTCACTCCAGTTAGATTGGCAGCCATTATGAAGTCAAACAACAAGTGCTGGCGAGGATGTGGGGAAAAGGGTACCCTTGTACATTGCTGGTGGGACTGCAAATTGGTGCAGCCAATTTGGAAAGCAGTATGGAGATTTCTTGGAAAGCTGGGAATGGAGCCACCATTTGACCCAGCTATTCCCCTTCTCGGTCTATTCCCTAAAGACCTAAAAAGAGCATGCTACAGGGACACTGCTACATCGATGTTCATAGCAGCTCAATTCACAATAGCAAGACTGTGGAACCAACCTAGATGCCCTTCAATAGACGAATGGATAAAAAAAATGTGGCATTTATACACAATGGAGTATTACTCTGCATTAAAAAATGACAAAATCATAGAATTTGCAGGGAAATGGATGGCATTAGAGCAGATTATGCTAAGTGAAGCTAGCCAATCCCTAAAAAACAAATGCCAAATGTCTTCTTTGATATAAGGAGAGTAACTAAGAACAGAGTAGGGACGAAGAGCATGAGAAGAAGATTAACATTAAACAGGGATGAGAGGTGGGAGGGAAAGGGAGAGAGAAGGGAAATTGCATGGAAATGGAAGGAGACCCTCAGGGTTATACAAAAGTACATACAAGAGGAAGTGAGGGGAAAGGGAAAAATAATACAAGGGGGAGAAATGAATGACAGTAGAGGGGGTAGAGAGAGAAGAGGGGAGGGGAGGGGAGGGGAGGGGAGGGGTGGGGGGATAGTAGAGGATAGGAAAGGCAGCAGAACACAACAGACACTAGTATGGCAATATATAAATCAATGGATGTGTAACTGATGTAATTCTGCAATCTGTATATGGGGTAAAAATGGGAGTTCATAACCCACTTGAATCAAAGTGTGAAATATGATATATCAAGAAATTTGTAATGTTTTGAACAACCAACAATAAAAAATAAAAAAAAAAATAAAATAAAAAACCAACAACTCAGAAAAAAAAAAAAAAGAAAAAAAATTAAAAACATTGAGTTGGCCATCTGAGGTCTTTTGAGGATCCTTATCCATTTCATTTTTTTTCTTTCTATTTTTGCCTATAATCTATAAATCACTTTGGGTAGTATGAAAATTGTCAAAATGTCATTAAAATAATGTTATTCAAAAGGGGGAAAGGCTGGAGTTGTGGCTCAGTGGTAGAGAACTTGCCTGTCTTGTGAGGCCCTGGGTTTACGACCCTCAGTACTCATATCAACAAATAAACAAAAGATCTAGTGACAACTAAAAAATATTTTTTAAAAAAGCCTGTTTGATCCCCTGTACTACCAAAAAAAAAGTTTGTGATATTTAATCAGAAATATTAAATAATTTAATTATTTTTCTCATTAATTCCTGGCTTTGCCTCAGTTTTGTTTTGTTTTTTAAGAGTGTGAGACAGAGAGAGAGAGACAATTTTTTTTAATATTTATTTTTTAGTTTTCGGTGGACACAACATCTTTGTTTTTTTTTTTTTTGTATGTGGTGCTGAGGATCGAACCCGGGCCGCACGCATGCCAGGCGAGCGTGCTACCACTTGAGCCACATCCCCAGCCCTGCCTCAGTTTTAATGTTGGTATTTAGAGTAAGTATAAAGAGTATTTTATAAAAAATAATGAGCAAAGAAAAATAGAAAACTAAAAATGTCATATTTGAAAAGCTTATGTTATATGGCTCAAGGTTTTTGTTTTCTGTTTTTTTGGTATCAGAGATTGAACCCAGGGGCACTTAATCCGGAGCCACATTCCCAACCCTTGCTAAATTGCTGACACTGAGTTTGAACTCTAAATCCTTCTGTCTCAGCTTCCCGAGCTGCTGGGATTACAGGAGTGTACCACTGCATCTGGCTGGCTCAAGTTTTTCAATGCTTATAAGCTATCACTGAAAATTTTTAAACTCAATATCAAACAGAAAAAAAGCACATTTCACAAATATACCTTTTGCTTTGTTTTTTCTAACTTGGATTTCAGTTTTCTGCCTCTTTTGCCAGTCCAGCCAGTCACAAATTCTGAACCTTAGGAGTGGGACAACAAAAGAACAATTCACATAACATACTTCATTGCAATTTTACATATTCATTTATTCTTACCTGCTAAACTTAGCTACATACTTACCCAAAGAAGTTTCTGCAGTAAATGAATGCTTGGTTCCTCTATTAGATTCAAATACAAAACCAGGTAAATCTTCTTTCAATATTGTAGCTTGCTGACCATCTGAGTTATGAATAGCAATTTCTCCTTCTTTCAAGCATGTTAATGACCAATTCCCTACAGTAAGTTTAGTGGGTCCTGGTGCTGAGAGTATAGGTTGACTTGAAGTAGATGGCTTTACTTGGCCTCGGGCTCTTTGTAACTTCTCTAAGAATTCACTTCTGCTTTCTACAAAGACAAAATACTTAATTTAAAACCTCATTCCTTTAGACTATTCCATGTTCAAAAATAAATAGAAACTACCTATTGGAATGTCAATTTTATAAAAGAAAAATTAGCATAGATTCCTCTGGAATCCTCTCACTGGTTTGATCTACTTAGGTTTAAGCATAAAAGCAATCTTATAGGTGTAATTTTTTAAAAAGGTGAACCTTCTGAGAAAAGATATAACTTGAAAAAGCAATAAACCCATGCTATTTACCACTACATGACAAAAGACAGATTTATCTAAAGACTGAAAAGATTATAAGTAGCTGTAGTGCTGTTCAATTAACATAGCGATAAAGCTCTTGCCTGAAAAGTAAAAGGCCCTGGGTTCGATTCCCAATACTGCAAAAGCAAAATGAAACAAAACAGAAGGTATTTATGAAATACTTACTTGTATAATTTTTCTGCTATTATTAAAGAAATTGACCACATGATCATCTAGAATGTGCTTACTCCTGTGATAATAGTAGCAAAAATATGAACAGAAAAATAAATTGTAGAAGCTAAAAAAGTATTTTAACTGAAACAAAATATTACCTGAACTATCCGATCCACCTTCAGGACTACCACTTGAATACATGGTAGCAAGTTTTCCATCCAAGATAAATCTGAACCATCCATTACTGCCATTAGACAATTCCAAGGCTGCTGCATCACTCCAAATATATAAGCAGTCCCTTCCCCTAATGATTGACCAGTCTCTCCAATGATATGGTTTACCTTGCTGTAATTCTTTAGCATCTTCTTGTGGTTCATCTTCCTAAATAGGCAAAATTATTCAATGAAATGTAGAAAATAATTTTATTTCAAATATTAAGTATTGTAAAAACTTGACTATGAATCAAATTCAGAAAATAAACATATTGAACACAATGTTCAGTTGCTTATGGTTTAATATGTATTGTGATGATCTAATTACCTATAACTGAATCTTAAAATTATTTAAGTCCTAAAAATGCTAAGAAAACCATATGAAAAATGACCTAAATTATATCATGTTCATTTGAAAGACCAATGGATGAGAGTTTTATTTATATAATTAATACTCTGAAGATCTTGGTAAACTCACTATACATCTCTTGGGTCTGATAATTTGTAACAAATGGAGACTTAGATGAGACCACTGATATTTGAACCAAATGGTGCCTCAGAATCACCAGAGAAACTTCTAAAAAATAAATCCCAAGGGACTAGGCATGTTAGCTCAGTAACAGAGTATTTGCCTAGTATGCCAAAAGGTGTGAGTTCAATTTCCAGTACCACACATATACATGCATACATATATTAATTCTGAGCTTGAACTATAGCTCAGTAATAGAGCACATGCCTAGTGCGTGTGTGTGAGGCCCAGAGTTTAATCCCCAGCCCTGCAAAATATAAAAAACAAAATAAATGTCTTAGATAAAGAAAATGTGACATATACGAAATGGATTATTATTTGGCCATTAAAAAAGAATGAAATCCTGACATCTGTGGCAATGTGCATGCGACTAAAGGACATTATATTAAGTAAAATAAGACAGATACAAAAAGACAAGTACTGTACAATCTCACGCATAGGTAGAAACTAAAATACATATAATTTCTTGGAAGAGAGTAAAATAGTGATCACTAGAGGCCAGAAAAGGGAAGGGAAAGTTGGAATCGAAGGAGCTTGGATAATGGTACCAAAATATAGTTAGCTAGGAGCAATAGGTTCTTACGTTTTATAGCACAGCAGAGTAATGATAGTCTATGATAATTTATTAAAAGAATTAGAAAAAGGAAGTTGAATGCTCCCAACACAAAGATATGACAAATATTTAAGATGGAAATGCTAATTACCCTGATTTGATCATTACACACTGTACACAACTCAAATTATCACAATGTGACCCTCAAATGGGTAAAATTATTATGTCAATCAAAAACAAATAAAAAAACTAATTTCAAAGGCCCTCTTCTTGGCCAACTAAATCAACAGACTATCATTTCTATGATCATACAGATATTTTATTTAGAGAATGCTTTTTAAAAAAATGAAAACAAGGGGCTGGGGCTCAGCGGTAGAGCACATGCCTGGCATGCGTGCGACATTGGGTTTGATTCTTAGCACCACATATAAACAAATAAAATAAAGATCATCAACAACTAAAAAAATATTTAAAGAAAAAATGAAAACAAAAATCAACTTGCTGACATTCTGTAGCTTAACCTCAGATCCTGAAAGTTTTCAGAATCTGTCTACACATAAGAACGTCTGCTCTGGGCCAGGATAGATAACAAAGGATCTAGTCTTTCACATCCATAGTAAGCCACTATAAACTTGACAAGATATATGGGGAAAAAAATGTATTTTCAAATATGGGACAACTGACAACACAGAATTGGAATCCCCAAGAAAATGAAAGCAACAAACCAAGAAACAATTTCCTAGCTGGGGTCACAGAAAGTGAGGGAAAAAAAAAAACAAGTCTAGCAGTATAAATTGAGAAAATGGGGATAAGAGTTTAAGGTATTAAAGACAACTGGATTATTTTAAGGATGAGTTTGGGATTAGGGAAATAAGCCAAAAACACCTGCAGAAATCTGAAACATGGTTTCAACTGAGCATTAGACTACTAAGATATAGGGTCATACTCTAAAGAGTGGGCAAAAAAACACCTGGAATGTTGTAAGTGGAACAAGATCAAGAAATCATACAAGTGACTGTCAAGAATTTAAAGGGAAACATCAACATAAGAGAAAAACCAGAAGGAAAAGATGAAAAATACAACACCTAAAATGAAAACCTCACTAGATGCGATCAGTGCAGGGGGAGAAAAAAAAAGATCAGCAAAATCAATCAGGCATAAAGCAAAACAAAAACGACTGGGGGCGGGAGGGTGGGGGGGAGACACAAAAAAAGAAAGAATGCTTCAGTGACCCATGTGACAATAAAAAGTAGTTTAATATGGGGCTGGGGATGTGGCTCAAGCGGTAGCGCGCTCGCCTGGCATGCGTGCGGCCCGGGGTCGATCCTCAGCACCACATACAAACAAAGATGTTGTGTCCTGCAGAAAACTGAAAAATAAATATAAAAAAAAAAAAAAAAGTATGGGGCTGGGGATGTGGCTCAAGCGGTAGCGCGCTCGCCTGGCATGCGTGCGGCCCAGGTTCGAGCCTCAGCACCACATACAAACAAAGATGTTGTGTCCGCCGATAATTAAAAAATAAATATTAAAAAAGAAATACTCTCTCTTAAAAAAAAAAAAAAAAAAAGTAGTCTGATGAGTGTGTAATTTGAGACCAGGCAAAAAAGAAGAAACAAATATTTCAAGTATTAACAGCCAAATATATTACAAATTTGACAAAAGCTATAAGCCCATAAAGAAACTCACAAGAACACAGTATCAAGCAGTAGTACACACACAAAAAAAAGCACAAAAGTGAATCCATACACACAGGCACATTACAGTAAAAACACTGAAAAATCGGTGATAAAAATCTTTAAAATAGGGAGAGGAGATATATCCAAAGAAAACAACTTCTTATCAGAAACTATGCTAATAAAGTAGCAATGAAACTTTTTTGGGGGGTATTAGGGATTGAACTCAGGGATACATGATCACTGAGCCACATCCCCAGCCCTATTTTTTGTATTTTATTTAGAGACAGGGTCTCATTGAGTTGTTTAGTGCCTTCAGGTTGCTGAGGCTGGCTTTGAACTCAGGATCCCCCATGTCTCGGGCTCCTTAGCCGCTGGGATTACAGGCGCTAACTGAAACACCTTTAAAGTATTCAAAAATGATAAACTATAAGTACTGTAGACACTGAAACTATTCATTAAAAATGAAGATGAAACAGGTTGGGGATACAGCTTAGTGCTAGCAAGCTAAGACTCTGGGTTCAACCCCAAGCATTTCCCTCCAAAAGAAAGGTTAACTAGTATTTTCAGATCAACAAAATCTGACAGAAAAAAATTTTGATGAAGTCCAACTCATTCATTTTTGTGTTTCTAGTATAATATTTTTCCCCCCAGGACTGGAGATTAAACCCAGGGACTTTGCCACTGAGCCACAACTCAAGCCCCTTCGATTTTTATTTTGAGACAGACTGTTGCTAAAATGCCCAAGCTGGCCTTGAATTTGTGATCTTCTTGTTTCACTATCTCAAGCAGTTTGGAGTACAAGGGTACCCTACCACACCTGGATATACTATAATTTTTTAAAGATTCATTTAAGAAATCTTTGACAAAAGCCATGGTATGAAGAGCTGAAGAGTTCCTTTTTCTCTCTAAAGTTTTACAATTTTAGTTCATATATTTCAGCATGCATTGCTGTTAATTCTTATATATGGTGTATATATTAAGGGTCAAGTAAAGGTTCAACATTTTGCATATATTATTAATTTTCAAAAAGATCTTCATTTCCTGACTGAATTGTTTTAACAATTTTGCTAAATATCAATGACCAAGTATACTTAAGTCATTAATCTATCTACAGACTACTGTCATAGTCTGCTTTATAAAAGAATTGGAATTTGGGGCTGGGGTTGCGGCTCAACGGTAGAGCGCTCGCCTAGCATGTGCGAGGCCCTGGGTTCGAACCTTAGTATCACATAAAAATAAATAAATAAAACAAAGGTACTGTGTCCAACTACAACTAAAAAATAAATTTAAAAAATAAAATAAACATTGTGTCCACCTACAACTAAAACAAATATTAAAAAAAAAAAATTGGAATCTGCTTCAACTTTATTCCTTTACAAGGTTGTTTTGGCCATTGTAGAGCCACTGTAGACTCATTCACATATGAAGTTTTAATTTGCTGATTTCTATAAAAAGACTTCTGGGGGGCTAGGGTTGTGGCTCAGCGGTAGAGCGCTCACCTTGCACGCGCAAGACCCTGGGTTCGATCCTCAGCTCCACATAAAAATAAATAAGTGAAATAAAGGTATTGTGCCCAACTATAACTAAAAAATAAATATTAAAAAAAAAAAAAGACTTCTGGGATCTGTTGAGATTGCTATAACCTATGTCTCAGTGGTTCAATCCCTACCACCAAAAAAACCCAAGGAATAAATGTAGACAATACATTTGTACATTTGTTTTTTCTTAAATGCCATAGCAAATCTGATGATTCACCAGGTCTAAGAAACACACTCTTTCACATCCCTTAGGATTTTGCAATTACTACTCATACACTACTGTTTGCTCAAAAACATTACCATTTTATCATTAACACAGAGTAAGCATACACTAAATGTTAGGAATAAATTTTGCTGAAAATTAGTTGATAGATGAGGTATATTTTAAATTTGTAATCTATGGCAAAAATGTCAATGAATATTGAAAGTAGTATACAAAATTTAATGAAAAACAGCATATTTACATAATCTCAAATTATTAACTTTACAGTAGAGAAACACGGCAGACATAAAGTTATCAAGGGATTCAAGTTAACATCATCAACAACAGGGTAAACACACATTTATTTCTGAGAAAGTACATTAGGTAAGAGAGGAACTCAACATCACTTTTCAAGTATTCCTACTAAAAACACACACACTCTTTCACATCCCTCAGGATTTTGCAATTACTACTCATATACTATTATTTGCTCAAAAAATTACCATTTTATCATTAATATAGAGTAAGCATTCACTAAATCACAAAATCTAATCACAAAGAAACACAACACAAATGCAAAGTGAAGCTCTTTGTCTACATTGTCCTTACTCTTCAAAAACACCAAAGATATGCAAGGAAAAAAATAAAGCTGAATAAACTTCATGTGTTCTCAGGATCATGACACCAACATGGATTAGACTCTGAAGGGAGGTGTGGGGGACACGACTGCCATGAAGGACATTAAGGAGGATGGCAAAATTTGAATGCTGACTCTGGATTAAATACTTGTTTTATATACATACTAAATCTTTTTTCATGGTGCTAGGGATTGAACCCAGGGCATCACACATGCTAGGTAAACTCTCTACCACTGAGTTATGTCCTCAGTCCTTAAGTATTAAACTTTCTGATTTTTGATAACTGTAATAATTATACTAGAAATAGTATGGGGGGGTTCCCCCCCCCACTTTTGGTTATTTAGGTATACTAACTACTGGATGAATCCAGCTTACCCTCAAATAATATTCTTAAAATATATACATACACTCAAGTGTCTGTAAAAATGCTAAATGGGGCAAAACAGTAACTAGTGAATGTAGATACAGGGTATTTTTATATTCCTTATCTATATTAGGAATTTTTCTGTCCACTTAAAATTATATCAATAAAAGAAAAATTACCAATTAAAAATAAATATATAATACTATTTCATATTACAATTATTGTGCCAAAAAAATCATAAATTGAAAATACATTTCCTTAAAACAAACCCTATTCCTGATACCACAATCATTAAGACTACTCACTTTTTCTGGTTTTGATTCCTCTTCATTCTCGTCATCAGAGGAAGGACCTGCCAAAGTTGACACTTTGCTAATTACACCAAGTCTGGCTAGCTGATCCAAAAAAATATCACCACCTTTATCTACTAGATCTCTTATGATCTGCAAAGCCAGCAAGTGACCATCATCATCATCCTGAGGGGAAAAAGGGTACATGACAGCAAGGAAATTAAGAGAAAATGATAAAAATAACATTACTTGCCTAAAAAAATACAGTAATTTGCACAGACAAAATGATTTGCTAAAATTAAAACTTTTATTTTATTAACTACCATCTAAAGAAAATTAAAGCTGCAAGAGTTTCAAGAAAGGTAAGAAACTAACCTCTTGATCAAGAACAGTTGCAGTGATTTCCACTAATATCGTAGGCAAATTGTGACCAACATCAGAATCACAAACTTCTTTTAACAGTGCTTCAGAGCAAAAATGAATCATTTTTCGAATCAGAGCAAGACTTGCTTTCCTTGAAAAGTAAAAAAGAATAATTTTATTAAGCCAAGTTAAGAAGATAAAATAAATCAATGTGCAACAACTGTACATTCAGGAAAACTAAAGTATCCAACACTAAAGTGTTTTGTTTTCTGTAGTACTGAGGATTGAATCCAGGGATGCATTACTTCATCCCCAGTCCTTTTTATTTTCGATTTTGAGATAGGTTCTCACTAAATTGCCCAATGTGGCCTCACACTTGCAATCCTCCTGCCTCAGACTCATGAGTAACTGAGATTACAGGTCTGCACCACTATGCTCAGCCAACATTAAGTTTTATACACTGCTTAAAAAAAAAAAAAAAAAATATATATATATATATATATATATATATATATATATGTAAATATATACTTGATAAAAGGATACAAAAAAATACGTAATACTACCATAAGTTTGTTTACTGTTGAGGTAATTGTACTTCTTATTATTAATGTATTGAGCTCATATTAAATTTACTATTCTATTATACATTTAACCAGTGTCACTGTTAAAACACAATGTTAATTTTATAAAATCAAGTAAAAAGTATTGCAATTACTACAAAATTAAATAGTATATAACTTGTAAGTAACCTAAAATTTTCTATAACACAAAATACAAAGCTCTAACAACTTTAAATACCTGGTAGTCTGCATGAACAACAAACTATGAATTCAAGTATTTTTGTCCTTGTCATTTTAAAATCCAGTTTAGTATAGCTATTTCTCATAAATAGATACCAATAATCCCATGCCTGAAAATATTCTGACTTAATTTGGCATACCTCTTTTCTTTTCACCCACTCCTTGCTTGTAACATGAGAGACATTTATAAAGCTATACAAACAAACCTCAATTTGATAACAAGCAACCTGTTCTTTTAAATTATATATACATTCTCCCACATGGAAATTATAACAGACCAAAAAAAGACTGTTCTATTATATGAGTCAATAATCAATTCATTTAACAATTGTTTTTGAGCATCTAACAATGTTCAGGATACAAGCTATAGGTATCATTAAGGTTGAAGTGACTAGATGGAAGAATAGAGAAGCAAAAATTGCTATTAACATCCTAGAGAAACACCTGACATAGCTGTATTTCTACAGCGTAACTCTTTCTAGCTGAATTCACAACATATTGTTTTAATAAATGTGCCTTATCACACATTCAAGTACATTATAAAAACGTTAGGTGGACAGAGGGCAAATTGTCCTAATAGGATTAGTGCTTGCAGTTTTTGTTATTAGCTATTTTTTGTTAAGTTATAAAATTAGTATTTATGTATAAGAGTTTTATGTCATGATTTATTTCAATTAACAACAGCATAAGAACATCTGTTGCCTGTTCTTTCTATCATATACTGAGCTGTTACGATTCTGAGCTAAGAATGCGTTACATACATACTCTTTGTATAAGGATAGTATCTCCTGGACATATTTGCTAATAAATACCAATCTGCTGGCATATTTATTTGAATTAAGAGTTTATATTTTGATGATTTGGGAATATTTTTTTTTGCCATGTAGGAGTTGATTTTTTAGAAATTATTTCTTAATATTTATTTTTTTAGTTTTAACTAGACACAATATCTTTATTTTATTTATTTACTTTTATGTGGTGCTGAGGATCTAACCCAGGGCCTCGCACGTGCTAAGGCGAGCGCTCTACCGCTGAACCACAAATCAGCCCGATTTTTTTTTCATGATAAATTTAAAAGATTTATTTAGGCAAACATGGTAATGTAAGCCTTAGTCTCAGCTATTCAGAATAGTAAGGCAGGAGGACTCCTGGAGCTTATAAGTTCCAATACCACCCTGGGCAACATAGTAAGATCTTGCTTCTCAGAAAAAATAAAACAGGGGCGTGGTAGCACACACCTGTAATCCCAGCAGCTCGGGAGACTGAGACAGGAAGATCGAGAGTTCAAAGCCAGCCTCAGCAACTTAGCGAGGCACTAAGCAACTTAGCGAGTCACTAAGCAACTCAGTAAGACCCTGTCTCTAAATAAAATACAAAGTAGGGCTGGGGATGTGGCTCAGTGGTCGAGTGACCCTCAGTTCAATTCCTGGTACAAAAAAAAAAAAAAAACCACAATGGACAGGGTGGCATAAGTCCATAATCCTGGCACCTCTGGAGGCTAAGACAGGAGGAACAAAACTTTGAATCCAGCCTGGGCAAGTCAGCAAGACCCTTCAACAACAACAAAAAAGAAGTTGGGAGGAGGGCAGGGAATAATATAGCTCAGTGGTAGATCCCTTGCCACGCATATGCAAGGCCCTGTGTTCAATGCCTAGTGCTGCAAAATAAATAAACAGGAGCTGGGGATGAAGCTCAGTGATGGAGCACTTGCCTACTATGCCCAAGGACCTGAGTTCAATCCCCAGCACCACAAAACAAACAGAGAGGAAAAAACATACAATAAAACAAAATGACAGATTTAACTAATGCAAACAATTTTCAAAAGCCATTCATTTAGAGGAGTGAAAGGAGGGGAGGGGGCATGAGGGTAGCAATGACAGTAGAATGAATCAGACATTATCACTCTATGTGCATATGTGATTACATGACCTGTGTACTCTGTATCATGTGCGTGCAGAAGAGTGAGAATTTATACTGTTTACACGTATGATGTGTCAAAATGCATTCTACTATCATGTATAACTAATTAGAACAAATAAAAAAACTTTTTTTTTTTTAAATCATTCTTCCAATTAAGGTCTAACTAGAGAACACTTTGGTTTCCTAAGGGCTTTTTAAATTTTTATTTTAAATTCTCTAGAATCTGTGATTTAGAACAAAAGATTAAAAAAAAACAAAAACCAAGCTTATTTTAAAATCAGACTACAAAGATATTCTGGTACCATTTAAGAAATAATCATCCTTCCACTAAATGATCAAAGCAACCTCCATTATAATACACTTAATTCCTGTTTATAACTGACTTTTGGGGTATATTATTCTTCTATTGATTAACACTCTTCAACTAGTCACAACAGAAATTTCATTATTAAAAGTTTACACTAACTTTCCATGCTTTTCTTTAATAATCTCACCTATTTATTCTTCCAGATGAACTTCAGGATCTGTCAAGTTCTAAAACAAATTCTATAACTTTTTTTTTTAGGACTGCATAACTTATAAGTTATATTTTAGAAAAATTTATATTTTGAGATTATTTAGTATTCTCATCCAAGAACAATTTCCCCCTTTATCCCACCAAGTCTATTTTTCTCAGTCAAATTGATTTTAAAAATAAACAAATGGATCCTCAAGGATCTCTGAGTTGCTGAAAAGTAGATTCAATCTTTGTCCAGTTATTAACATTAGCTCCTAGGATGCTTACTTACCAGACCTCTTTAAAATTCAATGTAGCCTATCTTCTAAGACTAAGTGGAGAATTCCTTAGTCTAGAATCCTCAGAGGGAATAACTGGGTTTTTATAAAACTGATATCACTATTCGCTGTTTTCACACCTTCACTGCTCTATTGTCTGCCTTTTATTCCCTGAACAGACATCATGCACAGGCCAATACAGATAGACAATAGTTAATGTTAGTGTATATCAACACTCCTTCAAACTGATTCAGAGTTGTTTACCCTTCAAAAAATTTTTAATCCAAAATGGTAAAACTTGAGATTGTAACTTACTTCCCTTTAATATTGTTAAGTAATTCCAAAAAATGAACTATCATTTTTCATATATCTGTAAGATATTAGGCACTAGGCTAAAACATGTAACATTTAATTTTTACTCTCAAACCTGAAGAGAATTAAGTATAATTATCCTCATCTTAGAGATGAAGCAACCAAGACAGAAGTTAGTTTTGCCCATGGTCACCTGTCTAGGAAGTGGCAATCCTAACATTTGGATATAGTTTGACCTCATTCCAGAGTCCAAGCTCTTCACTGATATACTGTCTTTCTAGCCATTATTAAATGTAGCTGCTAATTATTACCTGGGAGAATTTTGCATCAAATATGCTAAAGCTAAAATTATGTTTAGATAATCTCCAAATATTTAAAAGGATGATAGAAAATAATCACCTAATAAAAGAATTCTGTATACCACAGCATATTTAATAATTTTCTGCTGGCATTATCACAAAGCAATTCTACTCCAAATAGATCTGAGGATTCTTTCACCAGTCCTCTAAAAAATTTCAGATCAAACTGTCTTGTTCAAAATTAAACTTGCTCATTTCTTAAGATGATTCAAAAAAAGTGGCCCACTAACACCTACACTTCTATAGCTGTAGCTATTGAGGGAAAAAAATCAGGTTCTTAAATATTCACAGTAAATTATTTTCCTGCCAGCCACTTCTTTCTTATTTAAAGAAGACTGCTTGAATCTTCATGTCAGCTCATAATACTGATATCTGAGAGACCTGAATCTTACAAAACAATAAATATCCTAAATTTAAACGGATTAAAATTAAATTCTCAATCACTCAATGAAAAAGCTGGTATTTATCCCCTCACTCCTTCTTTTTCTTCAACCTTAACAACTAACCTAAACAATCACCCAACTACTGAATCTATTTCCAGTACTACTATCTGAAGTTTTTTATTGCGGTATACACTTAAGAGGCCTGTTTTCATTCTCGACGTATATGTCAATCCTTCTCTCTGTCAGGTTGGCAAGGTAACCTTTATAAATCAGAAATCTAACTATGTCAAATTTCCTCATAGGTCTTTAATAATCCTTTTTTTTTTTTTTTGAGGGGGGGATGAGTACCAGAGACTGAACTCAGGGGCACTTAACCACTGAACCACATCCCCAGCCCTACTTTTTGTATTTTATTTAGAGTCAGGGTCTAACTGAGTTGCTTAGTGCCTCACTTTTGCTGTGGCTGGCTTTGAACTCACAACCCTCCTGTCTCAGCCTCCTGAGCCGCTGGGATTATAGGTGTGCGCCACTGCACTCAGGTTTTAATAATCCTTTTAATTATGGATAAAGTACACACATCACCCTGCCCTCAAAGGATGCCATAGGTCATAAAAAAGTTCCTGTCAATCTTCTCAACATTATTCAATGTACTTTCTAAACATGTCCTATACTCCATTAATACAAAAATACTTAAAAATTGCTAACAAAACATTAACTCAACTATTCAGTAAATATCTAAGGACCAAAACATAAAGCTCTATTCTATACATCCTAGTCTCTATACAAATAGAGCAGTACACAAGCCAGCTCCCATGGTACTTATTTCAAAGGGGAGACAGACAATAAAAAAATAATAAAACACAGCAAGATTTCAGATAGTATAAGCTCTGTGAAAACAATAAAATATGACTGATGTAAAAGGTATCCTAGGTTGCCTAGCATGTATAAGGCCCTGTTTGATCCCCAGCATCACTAGTATTGCTGTATGTATATACGTGACTGTATGACCAATGTGATTCTGCAACCTGTACACTCAGAAAAATGAGAAATTATACCCCATTTGATTCAAATGTATGATATGTCAAGATCATTGTACTGTCATGTGTAACTAATAAATAAATAAATAAAATGAACTTACAACCTATATTTTAATACAAAAAAAACCCCAAAACTTAAAATAACAAAAAAAATATTTAAAGTGTCGTATCTGAATTGTATGAACCAACCATCCATTCAGAAAATCTGGGTATAGAAAGTTTCAAGTAGATTGAAATTAAGGGCAAAATCCTTAAAGTAGGGATGTACTTAAAGTGTTCCAGAAACAGAAAGGCGGCTAGCACAGTTATGTGTAATGGGACTGAGGTTAAACAAGGATGAATGAGGTTGAGGAGCTGGCTGAGGATTGTAAAGATTTTATAATCCTAAGAGTTAAGGAGGTAAGTTTTATTTATGGCTAATAAGAAGCTATAGGGGTTGGGGTTGAGGCTCAGCAGTAGAGTGCTCACCTAGCACATGAGAGGCACTGGGTTTGATCCTCAGCACCACATAAAAATAAATAAATAAAATAAAGGTATTGTGTCTGACTACAACTAAAAAAATACATATAAAAAAAAAAAAAGAAGCAGCAGCTATGGAGGGGGCTGGAGTTGTAGCTCAGTGGTAGAGTACTCGCCTAACATGTGTCAGGCACTGGGTTTGATCCTCAGCACCACATAAAAATAAATAAAGCAAAAGATATTATGTCCATCTACAACTAGAAATATTTAAAAAAAAGAAGAAGCAGCAACAGCAGCTATGGAGGGTTCAAAGAGGACAATGATATAATATTAATTATAATTTAAAATATGACTTATAAACAGATTATAAAGTTTCATGAAAGATAAAAAGATTCATTAAAAGGCTACCATGGTAGGGCTGGGGTTGTGGCTCAGCGGTAGAGCGCTCACCTAGCACGTGCGAGGCCCTGGGTTCGATCCTTAGCACCACATAAACAAATAAAATAAAGATATTGTATCCAACTACAACTGAAAAATAAAAATATTTTTTAAAAAAAGGCTACCATGGTAGTAAAGTTATAATCTACAGTAGCTTAGACCACAGTATTAACAAAAAGTAGTCAGAAATGGCAAGTTACAGATACACTATAAAGGGAGCCACCAGGAAATCCTGCTAGATCAATTCATATCAATGTATTTGCACATACCATTCCCTACCTATTCTTCCAAATCTGTCTGCCTAGAAAATTAATAAGTAGACTTTAAACCATGAATTAAATCTCACCTCTGCAATAAAACCTTTTCCAATTTGCCCAGACCAATTACTTATTAAATGATTTATGTTCCCATAGAACTCCATGTCTTACCCATCACAAACTCCTCTGTACTATTACATATTTCTTCACTGGCCTCCAAGGGTAAAATAAGTAAGACCTGCAGTAATCCAGGTCTCATTTGCCATGTGTAACGCCTACAATGACCATCTCACTCTGATCCTACCAACAGGCCTCCAGAAACTTAAATAAGTACTTGTTATATTTATCAGAATTTGTCTAGTGAGTAAATAGTCAGAGAGGTACTAAAAAATGTGTTAAGAATCTAAGGACCCAATTCTCTTGATTTTTTAAAACACCTTCTCTTAAAATAGGTCATCAAAAGGAAAGATGATTATCTAAAGTACAGGTATGAAGACACGAATTGGTGTGAATATACTGTGTATACAACCAGAGATACAACGAAAAATTGTGTTCTATATGTGTAATAAGAACTGTAATGCATTTCTGCTGTCATATATAAATAAAAAATAAATTTAAAAAAAGGAAAGATAACTTTCCCGCTTCTAATCAAATTTTTACTCTTATTATACCTTTTTAATGTTACAATAAATCTCTAATACTTCTGAAAGGGGAGATAGAACCATATAATTTAATATAATTTAACAAATACAAATAGTATGAATAACTACCTTATTGAAGGCAGCATAGTTTGCTGAAATGTTTGTGCAAACACCGGCAATAATCTTTTCAAGTATATTGGTGCCATTTCTGGATCTCCTTTGGGCTCATTACATTCTTCTTCATCTTTGTTAGTATCTTTCTTTTTCTTCTCATCTCCTTTATTAACTGGACACATCCAATCACCTGCAGACAAAATATTGTTCAAAGAAATATTTTTTGGGAAACTTTCCTTTTAAGAAAAAAATATCTTAAGATGTATCCACCTTAAACTATAATCACCTAGGTACTGGGGCTATATATCTCTGTGTTAAGTTTTTGCCTGGCAATAATGAGGACTGGATTCAATCCTTACCATGGGGGGAGGGGACTACAAACATCTCTAACAATAAATAAACTGAAACTAGAACACTTTATCTATTAACAGTGTTTTTATATTAATAGCTTTTTGATACAAGGGCTTGAACCCAGGAGCACTTTACACTGAACTATATCCCCAGTCCCTTTTTTTCTTTTCTTTTCTTTTGAGACAAACTCTCACTAAGTTGCTCAACCTGGCCTCAGACTTGTAATTCTCCTGCCTTAACCTCCTGAGTCACTGGAATTACAGGAATGTGCCATTGCTCCTGACTAAAAATATTAATAAAGATATTAATATCTTCAATAAGCTAAATAAAAAATTAACAAAATAATTATGTATACACAATTTGATTCCAAAAACTATTTCACAGAATCTCTAAATTCATCAACTCTACAAAAACTGCAAAATCTGCCAAATTACTTCATCTACACAATATCCAATAATTCTTTATATGACATTCCTAAATCCCTTGAACTTTTTAGGTTTTGGTCATTCTGGAATCATGCAGTCACAGTTTCAAGAACACAGAACAGTAAACTGTTAAGCAACTATAAGAATACATATATATGAGTTTAAAGGTGTCTATAAAAAGCTACTTCCATAGGAAGTGAAGCTGAAAAGTAATACCAGATGGCCTAAAAGCAAAGAATTTACTACTCACCTGGAGACTGAAGAATAGCTACTACTTCACTATGGCCCCTTTCTCGAGCTTTATCTAATGGAGTTTTCCCATCTTCATCTCTCAGATCTGGATTTGCACCATGCCGTAACAGAGTCTTGAGAAGAAAAGCATTTAATTTGAATATAACAATACCTGATTTCTTTGACATCCAACTCTGCAATCTAAAGATTTTCCAGAATTACTTAATCATGCAGGTACTAATCCAAATCTATGCCTTTGCACTTATCACCCTAAAACCAGCTATTCATATCTTGAAAAACTTCAAATTAGGTTATGTTCCAATTTGCCAAATAATCATCTAGAACCATACTTTACCTCTATTCCCACCACATCACACTAAACCTGTCATCATAACCTCATGATGAAGGACTTACTTAAAATCACAATAGCTCAATAAACATTTTTTCATTTAACTGACTTTAAAAATGTCTACAATAGGGGATGGGAATGTAGCACAGTCCTAGCATGCCTGCATAGCACGCCTGAGGCCCTGGGTTGGATCCCTAGCACCATAAAGACACTTTAAAAAATCCCGGTGCACTTTGAGATACATAAGCCATGTTGTGCTACAATAAGAAATCATCATTGAAAAAATTAAAACACCTGAAATAGGTGAGTATAGCTCAGTGATAGAACCTCTCTAGGATTGTTCAATCCCCAGTACAGCAAAAGAAAATAAATTAATAAATAAAAATTTAACTGTACTGTAAAGGTGATAATAATGGCAGCTATCTATCTTCTGAGCACCTAAAATGTGCTATCACAATAAATGCTTTACATGTATAGTTTCTAATTCTCACAATAATCTTCCAGGGAGATTTCACAGAGAAATCTTCAGGTCAAAACTTAAGAAACTTGCCCAAGGTCACACAGTTTTTTCTGTGTGAGCTGACCTTGAATCCAGGAGTGCCTGACTTCAGAGTGGAATAACCTTGCATTATGCCAAATTAATTCAAAATAGGCAGATTCTAGGGGCCTAGATTATAAATTTGATTTGACCTTTTCATTTGACCTCTTGGAATCTCAATTTCTCTAATTGTAAAAACAAACCTCTGAAGTAGGAGTCAAAAATGATGATTCTTCTAAAAACACAGTATCTGCTTTACTGACAAAAAGAAACAACAGAAATATATTTACACTTATTTGTTGGCAAGAGTAAGAAATTAGAAACAATCACATGTTCACCATTAGGTGACTGGTTGAATAAACTTACAGTATATCTATAAAGGATAAGTATGAATATGTAAAAAGTTCTCTATATCCTAATAGGGAATAGTCTACAATATATATTACTAAATGAAAGACTAGGTTGGTATGTTTCATTTTCCATAAAAAGTAAATAAGCATATTTGTGTTTTTACTTGAATCTGTATTGAGACAGAAAAGCAAAAAAAAAAATTGATAAAAAACATTCACTGCCAAGCGCAGTGATGCACACCTATAGATCCCAGTGACTTGGGGGGCAGAGGCAGGAAGAATACAAGTTCAAGGAGAGCCTCTGCAAGTTTGAGGAGAGCCTCAGCAACTTAGCGTGACAGTCTCAAAATGAAAAAAAAAAAAAAAAAGCTGGAGATGTAGCTCAGTGGTAAAGTGCTCCTGACTTCAACCCCCAGCAATGCAAAACAAAAATAAAACCAAAAATTTATAGTAGAAAAGAAGGAATGGAATGGAATGGATGGAGATAGCATGGAAGCACAACTTATCAGAATAAAAGTTTCCATATCACTCTAATTTCTGGACCCTGCAATTGTTACAGATTAATAGTTTAAAAACCTGGCTTTTACCTTTGCTACTTGAGGTCTTCCAAAACATGCAGCATAATGTAAGGATGATGACCTTTGACCCCTATTAACATCAGCACCTCTCTCACAAAGAAATTCTACCTGTAAAATGATAAAGAACCATAAAGTTGCTATATTAATTCCTCTATCCTTGATTTAAAATCCTAGCTCTGCAGGGCATGATGGCACATGCCTTTAGTTCCAGCAACTAGTGAGGCTAAGGATGGAGGATGGCAAGTTCAAGGCCAGCCTCAGCAATTTAACAAGACCTTGTCTCAAAATAAAAAATAAAAAGCACTGGGGATGTAACTCTGTGGTACAGTGCCCCTGGGTTCAATCTCCAATTCCAATAAATAAGTAAATAAGATACTAGCTCTTATTTATTAGCTTACCATTTCCTGAGTTCCAAAAGCAGAGGCCCAATTCAATAGAGTCTGACCCACATCATCCATAAAATTTACTTCAAAGGCTAAAAGTTTGAAGGAAAAAGAATTACTTTCAAGGCCAATAAAATTCTCAACTTTTCTAAAGTTTGAATCATTTAAAGACTATTATTAATAATCCACCAAGTACAGAGCAAAAAGAAAGTGTTTTAAATATTAAAATCAACTGTAAAGTAGTATATATAATCAACATGCCTAAGGTCAGCTACAAAAAAGTATTCTCAAATTTTTAAACCACTGAGGATTCATAAGGCTTTATACCTTAAAAATAAACATGACAAGGAAAAACTAAAGTATAATACAGTTCAACAGGGTACCACTTGCATCATAACATAACTATATAAAAGAAGCCAATCCAAACCTATAATCCAAAATACAAGTCTGATGTCCCAGAAGCAACTTTTATAAATTTATACTTGTTCATCACCTGACGAATATAGTAGGCTAAAAAAATTATTATATAATTACTATAATTTACTCATGTTAATTTCCATCAATCTTAACAAAACAGCCTTAAATTTAATCTGCAATTCACATTAGAATTGGCAAAATCTCTTTCAGGTGATAAAAAAAATAAAAAGTAAATTTCAAATTCTGTAGAAGTGTCACTCATTCAGCAAGCTTTCATCCAGGTCCTACCATGCATCAAAGTTGATAATCATTCCACTGTATATAGGAGAATATGCAAGGGGTTGGTCATAGCAAGGCACAATTGCTAAGAATATTGTCCAAAACAAGAAATAAAAAATTGACTATAGTTCCTTATCTCACAGTTTTTATATTTAAAACAAAGTATTTTCTGACCTCCTGTGTCAATTGCATCTATAAGTGCATCCGTATCTTTACTTCGAATACAGTCTATAAGCTGCCGATGTGAGCGCTCCCCAGAACTATCCAATCTACGGAGTCCTGGAATTCTGCCTGTAGACCCAGCACTAGATTTAGGCAAGGCCTTTCTTCCTTCAAATAACAGCACCAAGAGAAGGTCAACCAAACGCATGGTATCAAGTACACATCTTTCATCACCCTGTAATGCACTTTCAATTGAATCTGGAAGCTCTGATCTCAGGAGATCCTAGGAAGAAAATGATGGAAAAAAGTTTAACACATTTGCATTATACAAAAATACTTTTTCTAAAAGATTAAAGAGCAAAGATTCAAAAACACTCTTACATGTGTTACTACTGGAGAGCCTCTGCAAAGTGTGGAGAGCAGACTTACAATTGTTGACACCTGATTACTCAATTTGGAATCTGCAGTTGTGGAAGGGGCACCAGTGGTGCTGCGACCTGGTTTACATGCTGATGATGGTCCCGATACAGTACCACCGGCAGCAGCCATTCTCGATAACAGTTCCTCAGTTAATCCATGCTTGGCTAATGGAGCTGGGTCAACACCCCGACGGGTAAATCGGTCAGCTAGTGATGCAAAACATCGTAAGGCTCCATCTGAAACCTAGCAATGTAAAGAATAGGCTGTGGATAAAATTCACCTAAAAGGGGCTAGTACTGGGCTGGGACTGTAGCTCAGTAGCAGAGTATTTGCCTAGCACTGGGTTTGATCCTTAGCACCACATAAAAATAAACAAAATAAAGGCATTCTGTCCATCTACAACTAGAAAAAAAAAAAGAAATCCTTTAAAAAGGGGAAGAGGGCTAATACTGATCATTTCAATCCTGACACTATAAAAAAGGGAGCTATAGCAAAGTGATAAAGTGTATAATCTATCTAGATTTGGATCATGGCTCCATATTTGGCTGTGTATGACCTGAAGAAGTTATCTAACTGCCTAAGGATTCAGTTCCCTCAAACTGTAAAACAGGTTTAATAATGGTACTTACATCTCATTGTGTCTGCTTAAATGAGAGAACACATAAGAATGTAGACAGATGGTAACAATATTTTTGAGCTTTTACTATGTACAACTTTGCCAAGAAATTCTATGACTTATCAACTGAAATAATTTCTAAATAGTAAAAAGGCATGAAAAATCAAGTCTTATTTTCTAAAACTATGCTAATTAAATGAAGGCTTATAAATAACACCATAAATAGTGATATGTTACTTTACTGAAATCTACCATATTTTCAGTCAACAAAATTGCCCTAAGTCAACAAAATAATACTGAGTACAAGTGCAACTGTAAAGATGTTTATATATTTCCATAACATTTAAATTTTAAGAATAAACATATCACTTTCTTTAAAATATTTATTTTTAGTTGGGCCTTTATTGTTATTTATATGTAGTGGTCCTGAGAATTGAACCCAGTGCCTCACACATGCTAGGCAAGCACTCTACCACTGAGCTACAACTCCAGCCCCCTAAACACATCATTTTTATAACTAAAGAACACTTTATTGCCAAAAAATTACCACACATATAAAATGAAAGAAGAGATTATCCCAAGTAAAAATTTCAAATTACAGTGGATCATAGTTATAAATAGGAAACATAAAAATCACTTTTGAAAACTGAGAGTATACAATAGTAATTTATTTACCTGATGATCTTCATGTTTTAATAAGCTAGACAGAGATTCTACACAAATTTCTAATGAAGAATCTTGAGGTTCCATTTTGCCACAGAGTCTTGATACCACAGCCATGGCAGAGTGCAAAGTGTCTTTATGAACCAGGTGTCCACTGTCACGAATAAAGGTAAGCACACAATTCAAACCTCCAGCCTCAAAGACTGCTCCTGACTCACGAGTGCATATCAGTTCCAGCACCTAAAAATGGTGAAACAAAATTAACAGAAACTGGGTATAGTGGAACAAGCCTATAATCCCAGCAACTCCAAGGCTGAGGCAGGATGATCACAAACTCAAGGCCAGCCTCAGAAACTTAGCAAGATACTGTCTCAAAATTTTTCTTAAAGGGCTGGGGGTATAACTCAGTGGTAGAGGATGCGTAAGTTAAAGCCCTGTACCACACCAAAAAATAAAAAAATAATATACAAGCCTAATTTTAATTTGACAGAATCAAAGAAAACATAAATGTACTCTCCAAAATATATTAGTTGCCACATTAAAAAAGGTAAAATGACAAAACAATTATTTCAATAATAATTTTAATTTAACCCAATATAAACATGGCATCATCACTGGAACATATAATCAACTTAAAAACTTACTGATATATTTAACGTTTTCATGTGCTATCTTCAAAAATCACGTGTACACTTTATACCTACAACATAATGGCAATTTGGAGAAGCCACATTTAAAATGCTCAAGCCATATTAAAGTTAGTCATATATGAGATTTCAATGATAAAACTTACATATGGCAAACTAATGAATTATATGCAATTTAGCAAAAGGGTACAAGCTCTTAAACATTAAAAAAATGTTGGGTAGCCAGGCACAGTGGCGCATGCCTGTAATCCCAGCATCTCAGGAGGCTGAGGCAGAAGGATTGTAAATTCAAAGCCAGCCTCAGCAATTCCACAAGGACCTAAGCAACTTAGCAAGACTCTGTCTCAAAAAATAAATAAATAAATAAAAATGACTGGGAATGTGGCTCAGTGATTAAGCACCCCTGGGTTCAATTACTGGTACCAAAAAAAAAAAAAAGTTGGATAATGCTAGCAATTACTATTGCTCATCATCCTCACACTTAATTTACGAATATCAGAACATCAAAACTCCACTTTCAAACGGCACAGCAATGCAAGCTTGTAATTCCAGCCACTCAGAAGGAGCAGAAGTTCGAGGCCAGTCTCAGCAATTTAGCAAGGCCCAAAGCAACTTAGTGAGACCCTATATCAAAAAAAAAAAAAAAGGGCTGGGAATATGGCTCAGTGGTAAACACCTCTGGATTCAACCTCTAATGCCAAAAAATAAAATAAAACTCTACTTTTATTTTCTAAAGTATGCTGTTTAAGGTGTTCAAGTACAACTAACAGGGTCCATCAATCTTAAAGGCATAACAGAAACTTAAGACTTTATCCAGTAGACAAGAAAAATTTAAAGCTGAAAGATAATATAATCAAATTTCCAGCTAATAACTGTAGAGAATGGGGTATGGAAAAGTTATTGGTAAATGCAAACATTCAAACATTTAATAGAAAATAACAGGAGAAACAAAGAGTAGAAAATAAACTAAAAAAGGATCCGATCATCAATTATCTGTGTGGTGAGAAAGAAAGGAAGTAAAAAGATCAAGTTTCTTGTCTTGAATGTCAGGGTGGAATTTAATGCCAATTAACAAAACAGGAGTTTACCTGCAGTGAAAGACAATGAGCTAAGACATCCAATAAGAGATGTCCAGTAAGGCCTTGAATAAGAAGCCTAGAATTCAACAGTGGTCAAGGACAGAGATAAAAATGTGAGAATATAGAATAAATGGTATTAAAGTGACTGATAAGACTGCCATATATAGGCAAAACATATGTAGTTTTAAGAAGTAAAAACGGGACTTTAGAAAATACTATCATTTAAGAATGAGTTAAATAAGAACCTGCAAAAAAAAAAAAGAGAGAGAGAAAAGGAAAAAAAATAAAGCAGCGTCTGACAAAACCTAAAGGATAAAATTTCAAAAAGAATGAAATGATGACTTATGTCAAACACTATCAAGATCCAAGATTCAGTAAGTTAAGGGCTGCAAAAAGTCCACAAAGTTTGATAACAGGGATGCTACTGATGATCATTTTCCCATAGTTTCAGGGGAGTTAAACAAGCACAAACTTAATTTTTGTGGACTGAATAGTGACTAAGTGTAAACCTCTTACTACTCTTCTTCCTAAGAGTATGACTATGAATAGGAAGAGGACAGCTGAAGTAGAATCCACAGCCAAAGAAGGAGCTCCGGCTTTTTTTTTTTTTTAAGTAGCAGATTATCAACAATGGAGCAGCCTCACATTATATGCCTTCCAATGTGATACAATAAAAACTATGCAAAACACCAACACAGCAGGGTGCAAATAAACTTTTCAAATTGAAATTAACCATGAATAAGCAATCAAACAAATCTAGAATGTGGGAACATTACATAAGACAAATGGCCTGGACTCTGTAAAAAGGTGTCATGGGAAAAAGAGGAGAGCTGTTTGTTCTCCATTAAATGAGAATAAAAAGAGTAATGATAAAGTACAATGTGTAAATTTTGGATTTGCAATGTGTAAATTTCTGGCTATTTTTAAACCATAAAAGACATAGTGGGGACCACTGGGCTTAATAAATTGGAAATTATTTTTTACTGAAATACTGTTATTTATCAAAGATAGAATTATGTCATTATTCTGCAACTTATTTTCAAAGGATCAGTGAAAAATAAGGGAGGAAGGTAGGGGAGGGAATGAGAAGAGGACAAGGAATCTTCAAGTTAAACAAGAGAAAAAAGAGAGAGAGGGAGAGAGAATTTTAATATTTATCTTTTAATATTTGGCGGACACAACATCTTTGTTTGTATGTGGTGCTGAGGATCGAACCTGGGCCGCACGCATGCCAGGCGAGCGCGCTACCGCTTGAGCCACATCCCCAGCCCCAAATAAGATGTTAATAGTAACACTGTTTTAACGGTAGGCTTAAAAATATTAGAAATCACCTGCTTGCCGTTTGGTCCTGGGTTTGATCACCAGAACCCCTTCAAAAAATTGTATAAATATATATGGCTATATACATATGTGTAATTATTATTTTAATAAATATAAAACAAAAACAACCACCCCCCAGAAAAAGAGAGAGAGACGCTCAAGACTTCATTATATCCATCTGCTAGGAATAAAGAAACAACTAAAAAAAGAGCTTGAAAATATAGGTCAGTGAATAAGCAATGAAGTAAAATTTCAGATCTGGAAAAAACATGAAGTGAAGTGATGAATAAGGGAGGGCCAGGCACGGTGGCACATGCCTGTAATCCCAGCAGCTCAGGAGGCTAATGCACGAGATCGAGTTTAAAGCCAGTCTCAGCAAAAGCAAGGCATTAAGCAACTCAATGAGACCCTGTCTCTAAATAAAATACAAATTAGGACTGGGGATGTGGCTCAGTTGCTGAGTGCCCCTTCAATCTCTGGTACAAAAAAAAAAAAAAGAGAGAGAGAGAGAGAAAGAATAAAGGAAAAAAGCCTTAAAAAGGAATAGATCCCTCCTTCCTTTGAAGTTGTAGACAAAAGAGACACAAATCTATAGGCACAGAGACAGAAAATTCTGAAATATGGTCTAGAAGCTTCAGGTCCCTAGGATCCTTTCAACAAATCTTCAAGTTAAACATGTCATAGTAATTCTACAGCGCTTTGTCTCTTTTGCTCTCATTCTCTCATGAGTGTATGGTTGAATTCTCTAGAAGCTACATAAGGTATGATATTGCACCAGATTGACTACAGAAGCAAATATAAAGATCAAGCTGACTTCCATTTAGCTATAGGTTTTTAAAGAGATTTCCAAAATTGCCCAGCAATGATAGTCTCTTACTTATTTTCATTTTCTTTTGGAAATAGTTAATTTTCATTAAAAACATTTTATGGGTGCTAGAATAGAAGTTCACTGGATTAGACATGGGAATGAAGGGAAGGGAAGAGGGATGGAATAAGAAGGACAGTAGAAGGAATTGGACATGACTTTCCTATGTTCATATATGAATACATGACCAGTGTAACTCCACGTCACGTACAACCAGAAGAAGTCATACTCCATGTACGTATGTCAAAATACATTCTACTGTCATATAAAGAAAGGAAAAACTTTTTAAATATTTTTGTTAACATGTAAAGAGCTTGTTATTTTAAGAGAAATCAATACTTAAAATTTCTCAAGTTTTTCTTTGTTTGTTTGTTTTTGGAATTGAACCCAGGGGCATTAAAACCTTTGTATTTTAATTTTTAGACAGTGTATAAGTTGCTTAGGGCCTCACTAAATTGCTGGGCTGGCTCTGAAGTTCTTCCTGCCTCAGCCTTCTGATTGCTGGGATTAAAGGAATGCAATACCACACCCAGCTCCATTTAATATTTTTCTTTCTTTCTTTTTTTTTTTTTTTTGGTGTGTGTGTGTGTGTGTGCTGCTGGGGATTGAACATGCGAGGCACTCTACCAACTGAGCTATATCCCCAGCCTGGATCTTAATAACTAACAGGCTAAATATAGATATAATTACTATAAACAAAGGTTCCTGGGGAGCCTCAATCACTTAAGACTTGTAAAGGGTGAGACAAAAAAAAAAAAAAAAAAAAAAACCTTTGAAAACTGCTAACCTAGAGCATCAAAAATCATTTTTTTTAAAAAAAGTGTGAAGTGGGAATCATAAAAAAAAAAAGAATCATGGCAAGTTACACACTGTGATCCCAGCACTCAAGAGGCAGGACGTAAGACCAGCTTGGGCAATATAGTGAGACCCTACATGAATAGCAAAACAAAACAAAAATCAAAATGTGTTTACCGAGTAGTGCCAATAAATGACTAATCTAGTACTAATGCCTTTGAGTATTCTTAAATTTATAGTTAGTTCCACAAGAAATTAATAGTTTATTCTGAAGAGAGTATAGAGGCCCTGAATAGTTAAATCCACAGGTTCTAGAACCAGACTTCCTGATCTTCAAATCTTGACTCTGCTGCTCACTATATATAATCTTTGAGCAAGTTACTTAAACTCAGTATACTTGAATTTTTTCATCTGTAAAGTAGAAATTATGGCCAGGCACAGTGGTGCATGCTCAGTGGTAAAGCACCCCTGGGTTCAATCCCCAGTACCCATTCTCCACCCCCTGCCAAAAAAAAAAAAAAAAAAAAAATCATATTATGGCACTTGCCTCAAATAGTTTTGTGAAAACTAAATGAGTTAATACACATAAAAACGCTTAGAATAATATCTGGAAGTGGTGGCAGTTTTTGGTTATTGTGGCAGTCTGTTACTATTTTCATATAAAATAGTTTTAATTTAGCCAGGCACAATGGTGCACAACTATAATCCCACTGGCTTGGGAGGCTAAGGCAGGAGGATTTCAAAACCAGGCTCACCAACTTAGTGAGTCCCTAAGCAACTCAGGGAGACCCTGTCTCTAAATAAAACATTAAAAAAGGGGTGGGGATGTGGCACAGTGGTTAAGTGTGGCTGGGTTCAATACCCGGTTACCAAAAAAAAAAAAAGAACATGGATAACTTATCTCAATGTGTCTGTAATTACCAGAACTGAAGAAAGCTGAAGCAGCACATAAGAACATCTGGGTAGCCAGGTGTGGTGGCTCATGATTATAATCCCAGCAACTCAAGTGGCTGAGCCAGGAGTACCACAAGTTCAAGAACAGCTTCAACAACTTAGTGAGGCCCTAAACAACTCAGTAAGACACAGTCTCAAAAATAAAAAAATAAAAAGGAATAGAAATATGAAGCTCAGTGGTAAAGAGCCCCTGGTTTCATCCTCAGTACCAAAACAAAAACAAAATAAAAAACAAATCAAAGTTTTCATTCACAGGTAAGATTTCTTTTCCATTGTTCTCAATCACTCTCAATAAAGTAAGATAGATGATAAAGTTTTATCTTTTTAGGAAAATATATTTTTTACTTTCTAAGTGATATTCAAATAGGCCAATAAATAATACTTACCTTCACACACTGTTCAGCTAAGTCTCTGCTAGTCCTGTTGTTAAGTTCAACTACAACCAAACGATTACAAAGTGCTTTTATAGCTCCATCTACCCCAACAATCCTTCGGGTGCATTCTGCAGATACATCCAGATAGTACGTTATGGCACGGGCTGTCACTTCTAACACATTGTCTGGAGCACTTTCATCAAGAAAAATTTTGCAGAGGGCTGGTAAGAAAGTGCGAGGAGGACATCTATAGTAAAAGAAATCATATCACATGTAAGATTACTAAACAAAATATTAACAAAATTATAGATAATAAACTATAACATACATTGTGTTCAATACTACCTGAATGTTTACTAGGTAATATGTTTCACATTGTTTTCACTTCCATTACAATCCTTCCATGCGTATTTCATCATTGCTGAAAACATCAAGTAGTTTAAAGTAGTAGCATTAACTTGAAATCATGTTTAAAATAATTCCTTATTCAATACTCAGCATCAATGCTCTATAAAACCTTTCCTTAACTCCCCAGTTAAATGGTACTTTCAAGTTTCTAAAGCTTTTATAAGCAACAAACACACTGTTTCATGTGTTACTTTATTTCCTTACTTAATGTAAGAGTTGTTGAAAGCCAGAGACAGTGTTCAGTTCATGTTTTATAGGAACAAGTACTGATTTGGGGCCTAAAAGAGGAAAGTAAATCAGAAAACAGCTATGTGACCTTTCTGAGCCTTTTCCCTCATTTGTATAGCAAAGGTTTTATCTAATGAACACCTAATTTATCTGGTTATGAAGATTAAATCAAATCATATACTTAAAAACTTAGCTCCATATTTAACCCCACATAAACTAACTTTAGTTTCCTTTCCCCACTTTGAACAGTCTAATACCTATTACAAATCCTTGTGTAACACAGTTTTATCAAAAAAAAAAAAAATCTGTGAAGTATCAAAGAGACTCTCTACATTTTATCAAAACATAAACATTGGGCTGGGGAGGTGGCTCAAGTGGTAATGTGCTCACTTGGCATTCGCGGGACGCTCGCTGGGTTCGATCCTCAGCACCACATAAAAATAAAATAAAGTTTTGTCCACCAAAAACTAAAAAATAAGTATTTTAAAAAAAAAACCATAAACAGTGGTAGGGTGCTTGCCTAGCATGCATGAGGCACCATATAAACAAATAAAATAAAGGCATAAAAAATAAAATAACATTATTACAAAAAAAAATAACTATGAAAGCCCACAACTTATTTAGTAGAAACCTCAGTTACGTGATATCAAATACATTAACTAACTTCTCTGTCTACACTAAACTGTAACTATACATAATACAAAAGGTAATATAGCACAACAATACAGTGAAATTATTTTCCTCCAATTTTTAGTGTACGCAATTGAGTACCTCTCATACCTTCAGCAGCTTTAAAAAAAAAACTGTATGAATGGCAGTCTAACTGAATTCTTTAATATCTTCTTAGACAATTTTTAACTAAAGGGGTTTGGCAGCAATAATATTATCACAGAAGATTTTAGAAGACTTCTTTCATTCAATGACTAAGCAATCAATGATTAAACAGGTGTTTTTTATTAACCAGCAACAGGGCAACCTACAAAATAGTCACTTGTAATGTTTCTAAATCAGTAATTAAATTCTTTGAGGCCAAATTACAGGAGTTCATCCCCTAGTTCTCAGGTAAGAGTACAAGACTGTTTAGCATATTTGAATCTTAAAGCACTGCTGTTGTTCTTTACATATGTAGTAAATATCCGTGCATAGGTAGTAAATGGAACAGATGAGAAGAGATTGTGAAAGTTTTAATATTCAGGAGGCTGAAGCAGGAGGATCACAAGTTTGAGCCATATCCCAGCCCCTTTTATTTTTTATTCTGAAACAGGGACTCACTAAGTTACTCAGGGCCTCACTAAGTTGCTGATGCTGGCTTTAAACTTGTGATCCTCCTGCCTCAGTTTCCTGAGTCACTGGGATTAAAAGCATACTGCTCCTGGCAGAAATGTAAATTCACTCATCTATGAAAATTGCCTCATTTTGATTAAAGCTTAAGTGAATTGTTAACCTATATGATGTATTTTCAGATTAGATAAGGCAGAGGGAAATGTATTTTAAAAAACCTATGATATAAGCACATTCCAAACATTATAATATTGAAGAGACAATTGTCAACCTGAAGATCCTGGAAGAAGACCAAACCACCATAAAGATCCTGTGATCCGCGATCAAAGAACTGAGTTCACCAGGCCAACATTAACTTCATCCTCACACACCTTTCCATGCTACCCCTCACAAAGTTTCCTTTTAAAAGAACAGCCCAAGACCCCAAAAGCACTTTTCACTCTTGAGATAAACTGTATTCTGATCTGACAATGTGACTTCACCTTTTACTTTCTAATAAAACTCTACATCTCTGCTAAAACCTGATGCATCTTAGATTCTTTTCTGCAATGGTTCAAGAGGCAGGAAGGTTCAAGCAGAGGTTTTCTCTGCCTCTAGAGAGACTCCCTCAAACCCCCCTAATGGTGACACTGGAAGCTGAAAGATGTGGGAGAAAAACTTAGAAAACAACCAGAAAGGGATCCCCCAATACAAGTTCCAAGTTCATGTCCATGATGCATTTATGAAGGATACATCTTTAAAAAAAATAAAAATAAAAAAATTAAAGCCACACTTCACACACAAGATCCAGACTAAATCATGAGTTACAAATGTCTGAGTAGACCCAAACAGCACACTGAAAATTGAAATGACATTGAAACTACCACCCACAAAGGGCAAGAGAAAACTAGTAATCTAAACCTAACTAGGTTGATCACATACTAAAACCAAAAACAATAAACATTCTCCAGAGGATTTGATAAAACAAGTTTCATAATATAATATTCCAAATGTGGGATTAAATTCAGAAAAAATATGATCACGTCAAAGAAAAAGATAGTAAACAGACGTAAGCCAAAGACAATTCAGATACAAGAATTATCACATAAGACTTTAAATCAAATATAACTATCGTACATGAGATAAATGTGAGCATTCGTGAAACAAATTTTCAACAAGAAATAAAGTATAAAAAACAAACAAAAATTAAAGAAAAAAAATTCAGGGGATGGAGAAGTAGTTCAGTGGTAGAACACTAGCCTAGAATGTGTTAAGCCCTAGGTTAGAGCCTTAGCTCCACAAAAACAAATGAAATATACAATTTGCAAGAAAAATAAAAAAAAATCAACAGTTGGTCTCAAAATCAGAATTAAGACGAACAGATAAGAGTGAGTGAACTTGAAAACAGATCAGTAAAACTTGTCCAAACTTAAGAACATAGGGGAAAAGATGGAGGGTGACAGACAAAAAGGAAGAGTCTCAGGGAATTGAAGGAAAATATCCAAACCACTGGAATCTCAGAAAGAAAGGAAAAAAAAAAAATGGTACACAAAACACACTTGAAAAAGAAACTTCCCAAATTTGGTAAAAGACATATACATACTGATTCAAAAAGCTCAACATTTGTCACAAGATAAATTTAAAAACCATCATTCACAGACCAAACAAAAACTGTAAAAACTGAAAGAAAAAAAATCTTAAAAGCAGAATGAGGAAAAATAACACACATAAGGAAAAAAAAATCCAAATGAATGCTCACTTCTCATTAGAAAACATAAAAGCCAGAACAATATCTTTAAAATGCTGAAGTCAACTGCAACCCGAGAATTCTATACCTACAGAAAAATATCTGGCATAAAGGATATATATAGCACAAGAATACATAGCATGGGCTGGGGTTATGGCTCAGCAGTAGAGCGCTCCTCTCACATATGCAAGGCCCTGGGTTCGATCCTCAGCGCCACATAAAAATAAATAAAATATTGTATCCAACTACAAAAAATAAATATTAAAAAAAAAGAATACATAGCATGAAAAAACATACAGCACAAAGGCAAAATAAAAACATTCTCAGATAAAGGGAACTTGCCAAGAGCAGACAATCCCTAAACAGAACGGTAAAGGGTCTGGGATTGTGGCTCAGTAGTAGCACTCACCTAGCATGTGCAAGGCCCTGGGTTCGATCTTCAGCAACACATAAAAATAAATAAATAAATAAAGATATTGTGTCCAACTACAACTAAAAATTTTTTTTTAATTAAAAAAAAAGAATGATAAAGAAAACTCTTCCGGATGAAAATGAAATAGTACTGAAGAACTACATGGAACCTCAGGAGTGATGGAAAAACATTAAAAATGAGAAAAACCACTGGGTGTGGTGGCCCACACCTGTAATCCCAGGGACTCCAGAAGCTGAGGTAGGAGGATATAACTCAATGGTAAAGCACCCCTGGGTTCAAACCCCAACACCGTCAATAAAAAAAAAAAAAAAAAAGAAAGAAAGGAAGAAATGAGAAATACCTCCACTGGACTGTGGGCCCCCAGGTCAGACTGGGTACATAACTCTTCAAAAGGCTCCAAAGCCAGCACAGTGGAGCACAAATGTACCACTCAGGAGGCTGAGGCAGGAGGATTGCAAGTTCAAAGCCAGCCTCAGAAAAGGCAAGGCACTAAGCAACTCAGTGAAACCCTGTCTCTAAATAAAATACAAAATAGGGCTGGGATTGTGGCTCACTGGTAAAGTGCTCGCCTAGTACGTGCAAGGCCCTGGGTTCGATCCTCAGCACCACATAAAAATAAAATAAAGATATTATGTCCAACTACAACTTAAAAAAAAAAAAAAACACACAGAATAAAATACACAATAGGACTGGGGATGTGTGTCAGTGGTTAAGTGCCCTGAGTTTAACCCCCAGTAACTCCCCAAAAAAAGGCTCCAGAAGCCCAGCTGCCTTTAAGGGGCTCAGCATCTCCTGACATCAGGGCTTCTACCTGATGTCAGCAACTAGGCAGTGTGTGTATTTTGCTGGGTCTCAAACTCAGGGCCTTGCAACCCCACCCCAGCCTCTAGTAGATAGCTTTTTAACGACCCTGGAGACTTCTCCCAATCTTTGAACCAAATAGAAATAAAGCTTTTGAAGGAAAGGAAAGGGGAAGGAAAGGGAGAGGAGTAGGGGAAATGAGAGAGAGAAGAAATAAATAGGTAAATATGAAGGCAAAAATTTTAATAGCGCATCATGTGATTTTCAATGAGCATAGTTTTAATACATGTGACAGCTACAGCATAAACAGAGAAGATAAAGCCTCATGGCATGAGACTTCTTATTTTACTTTTAAGTGGTAAAACTCTAA